GCCAAAAGTCAAGAGTCAAGTGATTTAATGGTTAATGAGTTGGACTAATGAGTTTTACATTCCCTGGGATTTGAGTTGATTAAGCCTAGACCACAAAACCAAAAAGTAGTTTGGGAGGTTAATAAAGAATCATTAACTCCTGAACATTATTGAACATTATCAAGAATAAACAGGATAAAAAGACAAGGAGAAAAAAACCAAAAAGAAATCCATGTTTATGTTTATTTTACAATAGTTGAAGAAAGTGGGAATATTTTTTCGGTCTTTTTAGTTTATGTTTAGACTTGATTGTTACTATTTTTTACTCTATTTTCCTAACTAAGATAACAGTTAACTATTATGAGGTTTATGTTTACTATTCTAAGCAGTTTTTTATTACTACTTCCCACTAACCAATAATCCTGTGGGGCTTAATTTTCCCTTGTGCCATTATTATCTATTTTTTAACCTCTTTTTTCTTAACAATCTCACACTAACCAAAACACTTATTCCTAACCATAGCAAATAAAACAAATGTAATTGTTTAATGGTCTGCTCCTTACTAATTAATTTGTTTTTTAATCCCTGAATAATTTCCCCACTCTCTACTTCTTTAATGATTTCTTTTGGCTGCTCTTGTAATTTTACCTCTAATTGCTGAATAATTTTTTCTTTTTCTCGAATGATAGTTAATAAACTCTCTTTTTCTGTAAAAGGATTATTTTCGGGTTGGACAGGAGGTTTATTTTTTAATTCTCTTATTTCCGCCTCTAATTCTGCGATTTTTTGGTTCTTGGCGGCTAGTTCGCGATGGTCTACTGGTGGACACTGATGACTATTTATTTGGGCCTGGTAATCATCTCTTTCTTGTTTAATGGGACTCATAATCCCCTTTCGCACAACAACTATTAGGACAAGAACAAGTATGAGTATCTATTACAAAGTGCTAAAATAATTTCCGTTTTAAACTTATGAAACTTATGAAATTACAATCTAAATTAAAATCTACAAAACAATCTAAAAGACCTCTGTCAGTAGAATGCTTCAAATGTTCTACTCCTATTGAAGTTAAATGAAACACCGGACAAGGTGAATACTCTAAGAAGAATAATTGAGGCTATTGAACAGACAAGGTCGAAAACAAAGACAAATGAATTTGTGATAAGGACTTGGTTCATTTGTATAGGGAAGATAAGTGAGAGTATAGGGAGAATATTACTAACCTTGCTAGGAGGAGAGTTTTAAGAACTTACATTTACGACCAAAAGATAGTTAATTAATTCCTCAATTGGACCGGACCCACCCTTGCAGTCTGTTTTTATCAACCAGGAAAGATGAGCCGAGCCCCATTCAGGAGTTAATTACTAATTCCTTACTGATAATACTACGATTTGAAAGCCGATGATATTCCCCCTATTATAAAAATAACAACAACACCTACAAGTATTCAAAACCACATCTTTTTATAAAAGGGAGGAAAGGCACAACTTCTACACATAACTCCTCCTTGTTCATCAAAAAGTCTTCCTTGACCACTTCGATATCCTTCTCTTTGAACTTCTTCTCCTTTTGGGATTTTTCTACCACACTTACTACACAGCATAATCTAAAATATTTCTTTTAGACTTCCCGAGGAGGAAGGAAGAATTTTCTTTACTGTTTTTTTTTTTTTTTTTGCTTCTCCGCACCTTAAAACCAAAAAAACTTAAATAATGGAATTAGAATTTCTCCAAGAATTAAACGAACAACAAAAACAAGCGGTCTATGAGGAACAC